ACCCCTGCCAGGGCATGTGGGTAACATTTTTATATAGATAAACGGGGAAACTTGATTATTGTTCTAAAGAACAGGTGGTGCTTAGTTCTCTTTAATGGCCCTAGCTCATCATGTGAATGTCATATTGTCATTCAGTTCCCCTCTTGATACCTTTTTTCTTATGCATTTAGTGTAGGGTCTACAGGGTCTCACTGCATAGATCAGACTCATGGTGATTCCTCTGTGTTCAGCTCCCAAGTGCTGGGATTACAGTTGTGCACCACCATGTCCAGTCTCAATCGAGTCTCAGCACACCCTGGGGTGGGGGCTGGCATGGCACACTGGGAATCAAATCCCAGAAGCAGCACTGTGCCTAAACAGGTGCTTTAATCCGATGAGCTATTTGGCCAGCCATCCTCTTGATATTTTACTAGTCTTTTGCCATAGGAGCCATACTGCCATACACATCTGATTTAAACCTATTTTACTGATGCATATATTTCTATGAAGTAGTTAGCTAACATAAGATTGATGTGTTTCATACCTCTGATTTTTATTCCTCCCTTTCTCTCTCCTTCTCCCCATCCTACAGATAAACCTATATATCTTTAAATTTGTTGATCTAAATTTCACAGCCCGCACCCTACTCAGGAAAGAGAACATTGGTAGCATTCCCAGAGGCCCATTATATGCTTCTCTTAGCTAACAGCAATGTTTAGATTTTTAATTTCAATCAACATTGACTGTTTCCAACAAGGTGCTAAGTATTTACATTTTTATCCATGATGCACAAGAGTCCCTCTTCCCCTTTATCTCCTGTCATGTATCACTTAATGACAGGGACACTTAGTAAGATGTGCCTTCCTAGCTGATTTTTTCATTGTGTGAACATCATAAAGTGTGCTTACACAAACTAGGACATCTGTGATGTCACCAGGCAACATAAGGACTGCTGTCATATATCCTGTCAATTGTTAGCCGAACTGTTTTTATTTGGACATGGTTTTAATTTTCATTTCCTTGACTACTAGTGAGTTTCTGTATTATGTTTGTTTGCTGTTGGGGCTTTCTATTTTGTGTATTGTCTTCCTATCCTTTGCTTAATTTCTGTTGTCTATTTTGTCAATATGTAAGAGCTTGTTGTATAATTTAGGTATTAGCCCTTGGTCATCATTTTTGTTCCAAATAGATTTCCAAATACATTACTTTCTTTTGGATGTGGTTGTACCAGCTCTATTTATTAGTCTGCCCTTTCCTATTGAATTGGAATGCTATCTTCATTGTTTATGAAGTTATCATGTGCTCTGATATCAGTTTCTGATTGTCTATTCTGTTCTGGAGGTTTTTTCATGTACGGCTATTCATATACCATGTAGATTTGACTACAGTAGTTTTATGTGTGTCATGATAATCTAGCTGTTTCCAAGATTTGGATGTCACAAATTGTGCTGCTATAAACATAGGTACACATATATCACTACAATATGACATTTTCAGTTCCTCTGGGAAAATTCCCAGTAGGGGAATAACTGGTTTGAATGGGATTTCTAGTCCTAGTTTTTTAAGGAGTCTTCACACTGATTTCCAAAATGGTTGAATGAGGAATGGATGAAAAAGATGTGGTATTTTTATACAATGGAGTATTACTCAGCTATAAAGAATGATAAATTCAAACCCTTCATATTTAAGTGGATGCCACTTGAAGATATACTCATAAGTGAAATAAGCCAGACCCACATATGTAAATATCATATAGTCTCCCTAGTATAACAACTCAAAAGAAGAAATAAAAATAGAAAGGTATAACACAATTAAAAGGAAAGCGAGAATTTGAGGATTAGACAATGAAGAGAGGGCAAGGAAAAAAGCTAGGAAACATGACAGGGGCAAAGCCATACATTTATATGTACAATATGGGTAAGGCAATGATCTTGAGAATCTTCAGAAGGTTTTCGAAACTAGCAGTTAATTGGTAGGATTCTCACCCTGACTGACTATATATGCTGATACCTGTGAACTAAGCACCTGCACTGAAGATAGCAATGTGTAATAGTAGGATCATGCTTGGAATGCCTGTCATTCTGGTTTTCTAAATACATACTACTTGTTATGACATACCAATTACTGCCATACTGTCTGTCAAATAAATGTTTGTTTAAAAAAAAGGTAATAAATGAAAATAAGAGACAAGAAAAAAAAATGTCACAGGACTGTCCTGCTACAATGCTGTCTAGGGTTAGATTTCTAAATTTCTGTGTAAAAATATGTAATTGTTAATTCCTATTTTTGAAAAAATATTGTTTTATATTTTTAATTTTTTTCTTCATCTTCTGTAGGGACTTAAAGGTTAATGTATCAATATTTGATAGAAAATACCTGTCCCGTGTTATGCCTAAGATGTGTAATATTCAGATAGTGAGATTAAGCTCAGCTGCCTATGTTGTAGGGTAATAACAATAACCTTCTCCTCTGGAACATTAACAGCCTAACTTTACAGACCAAAAATTAGAGAAAAAGAAGGGCTGCAAGGACCGCCAACGTTTTGGCCCTAGCCTTTCAAGGTCAATGAAGACTCAGGACATAGGAGAACCTGTACTGTAACATGTAACTCAGTTGTGTCCCAAATTTTCTGAGCAAGAAGATTATGCAGCCACAGAGGAAAGTGATCGATGATGTAGAGTGTGCCTAAGGAGAGTCACATGGAGAGAAAACATACTCTCAGGCTTTCACAGAGAGCAAACTGGTCAAGCAATGGCCGTGACTCATCCACAAGGCTGACACTGACAAAGGATCTACAAACTGCTGTATAGGGTTTCAGGATAAATCCTGAGGGGATTTGACTGAACTTATCAGATATAAAAGCTACATTTCTTGTTATATAGGTCTTGCTTTATTTTAGTCTTAACCATCCAGCACAAAAGTATAAAAACAAAGTATAAATAGTAAAGCCATATTAATGTGCTAAGCTGTAAAAGGCTCAAGTCAACAACTTCTGACATTGCCAGTCTTCGGAAAACCCACTACTACTATGGACTACTGGACTATATTGGAATGTTTTGCTGAATTCACATACCTATAATATTTAAATGACAATGGAATACCTATCTCTGACAAAACTAAACAAAAAAAGGGATACAAATGAACAACCACTTTGTATCTGGATATTCAAAATAGTTAGGGTAGATATACAGCTACATTCTCTTAATTCAGTGAATAGAAAGATTTGTTCTAATAGTGTTTATGGACAGGATATCATGTCTGCATCTTGTACAATGAATAACCACTAAGACAACAATATGCAATGTAATAATTATTGAAACTGCCCTACTAATGTGTTTTGAAACTCTCTCATTGCTATTTGTTTCTCAATAAAATTATTTTTTAAAATGCCATAACCAAAAAAAAATGATAATCTAGCAAAGCAAATCTTTTAATTTTATATTTATCTATCTGCTTTTTATTTTCTTAAAAGTATGTTTGCAGTAATTAGTGTTTACAGTCCTTGAATGAATCAGTACATGTACAGAACACGCCTTAATGCCTTTCTCATTTCTTTCTCTTCTTCCCTCCATCTTTCGAATCCTTCCCATGTGAGAAAGATCTCTGTCCTTACTTCCTATCATCTATCTTTTGATTTGTTCTTTATTTATAATTTGGGCTTTTCACGTAAGAGAAATCATGTGCTATGTAAGCTTGTGTGTGATGGTCTCAAGGTGTATCCATTTCCTATAAATGACTCAGCTTTACCTTTATGGCAGTACAGTACCTCATTTTGTGTAGCTACCACATTTTCTTTGTCATTACTCTGTTGGTGGACTTAGAGGCTGCTTCCAAGATTTAGCTGTTCTGAGTTGTACTGCTGTGACATAGGTTTGCGTGGATCACCATAGTATGATGACGTCAGCTCTTTGGGGAAGACACCTAGACGGGGAAGAGCTGGGTCCAATTTCCACACAGATTTCCCTTTTGTTTGTATCAGTTTACATTCCCAACAACAGTGTAGAACGGTTCCTTTTTTCCTGGAGCCTCATCAGCATTTGTTATATTTATCTTGAGATACTTAGTTTTTTTACATGTACTTGGATATTAGCAAGATGCTGTCTTAAAATAAAAAAGGCTGGGGATGTAGCTCAGTGGAAAGGCCCTGGTTCAATCACAAACAAAAACAAAACACAGACACCCAACTCATGCTGCCTTGAGTTCAGTCCTTGTTCTACCACTTACATTCAGGCTAAGCTTACTAAAATTAAAGCAAATCTAAGTTAGACGTTTGTATTAATGATGTTTACTGACTCTCTGCTCCACTGCTATATTATTGATTGGTTTTAAGAGCTTCCTCAGTGGAGCTAGAGGTAGAGTAAGAGGCAGAGCTGTTGCCTAGCTTGTGCTAGGTCCTGGGTTTTATCAATGGCACCAGAAAGGAATGGAGAGGGGGACAGGAGAGAGAGGGAGGGAGGGAGGGCGACAGGAAGAGGGAGATCCTCAAACCTTTAAATTTGCAGTTTCTATAGAACATCGACTTTGGGTTTTCAAAATCAGGCACTCAAATGCAAATGTCAAGCAATTATTATTATTATTATTATTATTATTATTATTATTATTATTATTTTGGAGGCCCGAAATGCATTAAGGCATTTCTGGTTTGCCGGGGCTCTCTGGGTTCAAACCACAGAAGCTTGAGCTTGAGGGCTTCGTTTTGGCAGGCACTTAAAAAACTGAGCTTCACAGAAAAAAAAAAAATAAAAAAAAACTGAGCTATTGGGCAGGCCCCTCAAGCAATTATTTTTAATAAATATTTTATATTTACATAAATCTGTTTCTGGTTAACTTGAAAATATTTCACATGACTAGTTATTGCAATTGTAATATATATTTTATTGTGAATTTTACTACAGTAAAATTCATTTAAGAAAAATATATGTAAATAACATGATTATGCCAGCTGTTTTCAGTGTTGATTGTGTTACTTATATTTCACTCTTTCTTTAATGCTTTGTATTTCCCTTTTGTTTTCTCTAAAGCTATAGCAGTGAGCACCAGATCCAGTGTTGAGTGTTCAGTGCTCCTCAAAGATGGGGGAGATCAGTCATTGGAAGGAAGGGTAAGCCGCTGAGGATGTGGCACTGTGCTGCTAGCACGCAGCCGCGTGTTCTCCAGGAGCACACGTGCAGACTTTGTGGGATGGGGGCGGGGGGGACACAAGCACAGCAGGTCTCCCGGGAACTGTGCCAAGTCCTGGGATGGGGGACACTGAGAATGCCTAGGCCCCAAAGGGAGGGACATGCAGGCCATCTGTGTGCTGCTCCAGTGCGCCTTCTTGGTCCTGGGGACAGAAGTGTAAGGTATTCTTCTGAAGTGTGGAAGGTGTATCTGAGCTGAGATGCAGTGGTTGACTAGGAGGTGGCCAGCCTGGAGACCTCACTTCTGGAGCATGGGGAGGATGCTGAAGGCATTTTTCAGGCTGAGGGAGCTTCAGAGTGGTGGAAAGAAGCAGAAGCCCAGAAAGATAAGGGCACAAAGTCCACACTGGGTGAGGTAAGCAATTTGGGCTAGAGAGGAGAGAGAAGAGGAGGTCCCACCACTAAGGGCCTTCTATGTGAAGCTGTGGTGCAGGTAGCCTAGTGGTTAAGTGAGTGGATTCTGGAGAGAACTACTTACACTCAGGTCCTGTCCTAACTTAATTCAAACTTAAATTCCCTATAGCAAATAGGCGTAATGATAAAACTATCACTTGGGTTGCTAGGATGAGTATTTGACCCTGGAATTTTGAAAAGCTGTATACTTCTTGACATATTTTTAAATTGTTTAAAATATAACAAGTTTTAAAAAGTTGCAAAGGATGTGCTTTCTGGTGTCTTGTTAATACTGACATTTTAAAATCATACATTTGAAATATATCCACTATGGTTAAAACTACTCTAGCAACTAGATAGCCATAATCATCCCCTTAAAAATACATGAACGAGCTGCCGTCTTGCATCCCCGCCACATTTTCCGTGTGCCTAATCTCAGCTGATCTACCTGAGACACACTGAGTGCCAGCCCCAGTCCCCCGTGCTGCCCCATATCCATGCTGACAAGATGAAAAAAACTATCATGAACTAGGAAGAACTCACCAAACTTCAGGCACAAGTGCACATTGGTGGGAAAGGAACAGCTCACAGAAAGAAGAAGATGGTTCATAGAACAGCCACAGCAGATGATAAAAAAAAACTTCAGTTCTTATTAAAGAAGTTAGGGGTAAACCATATCTTTGGTATTGAAAAAGTGAATATGTTTACAAACCAGGGAACAGTTATCCAATTCAACAACCCAAAAGTTCAGGCATCTCTGGCAGCAAACACTTTCACCATTAGAAGCCATACTGAGATGAAGCAACAGACAGAAATGCTACCCAGAATCTTGAACCAGCTTGGTGCAGACAGTCTGACTAGTTTAAAGAGACTGGCTGAAGCTCTACCCAAACAAACTGGATGGAAAAGCACCGCTTGCCACTGGTGAGGGGGAGGATGATGAGGTTCCAGGTCTTGTGGAGAATTGTGATGAGGCTTCTAAGAGTGAGGCAAAATGAACTAAGGCAGCTTCTGAAAAAGATCAAACTGGGAAGAAATTACTGGGAACTGCTATTTTATATTATGGCTGCTTTCAAAAATTGTTTTTGTTTGTGGATCTGATAAAATCTAGATCTCTAATATTTTTTAAGCCTAAGCCCCTTGGACACTGCAGTTTTTTTCAGTTTCTGCTTACATACAATTCATTTTTCGCAGCCAGTTATACTGGAGAAGCATGGGAATAAAGTTTGAGACAAAGATTAATCAAAAAAAACATGAACAAGATCTTCAGCAGACTGAAATCTTTTTCTCATGCAACCCGTTTTATTGTATACTCCTCCACAGAATTTTTAATTAATATAATTTTATGCTCAAAAGTCTGTTCTTAAAAACCATATAATTTCTCTGCAATAAAAATGAATATAAATTTAAAATTTTCCATGACATATGACCAAGGGTTAATTTTTTTTAAAAAATGTCATAAATGAATCTTATGAAATGTATAGGGATGCTTTTTCTGCATTGGTTGTTTAATTTGTAGATATGTTAATGTATATTGCACATTGCTAGAATGAGAAAGGTCACTACTGAGCTATTTTTTATATTAATAAGTAGATTGACATATTTTCAAATAGTTTTGGTGATCTCATTTTCTCTGTAAGTGGCCTTTACTTTTCAGTGGTAAATTGTTACTCCTCAGTCTTATGCAGACACATTGTCCTCCCATGCTGGCCTCTCTCGTAACTTGGCTGTTTCCCAGAACATGGGCCAATGGAGGTATTTTGAGCTCTTGCATATGCCAGCCCTGGGACTCAGATGTCCATACTTCCCTTGATAGAGAAAAGATACTGTTCAAAAAGACACTACGCGGTCCCAGCTGTAGAGCGAAGAGCTGCAGGCAGCAGGCATCTCATCGCCATTCAGCGTTTTTTAAAATTTCAGCTATCAAAATGGGCAGAATTTTCCTTGATCATATTGGTGGTACTCAGCTGTTTTCATGTGCAAATTGTGATATAATCCTGACCAACCGCTCAGAACGCATCTCTACTCAATTCACAGGTGCCACTGGTAGAGCATTTCTTTTTAACAAGGTAGTTAATCTGCAGTACAGTGAAGTTCAAGGTCGAGTCATGCTCACTGGCTGCCACATGGTTCAAGATATGAACTGCAAAAACTGCAATAGCAAACTGGGATGGATTTATCTCAGTTTGCCGCTGAACACAGCCAGCATTACAAAGGAGGCCATGTGATCCTGGAACGTGCTGTAGTTCGAGAGAGCAAGGCTTTGAAGAGCATGTACCATCTGATAATTCTTGAAGAAAAAGAGATAAATCCATCTTTTCCCAGGTCTCCTTCA